TTTAGTTTTCCCCGCATTTCAGTACCGAAAGACAAATACGATATGCAAGAAAAACAAAGTTGTATGATATAATTTTTTTCAATTTTTTAAGCATTTCTGATTTCCTCTACCGGTTCGCTTCAATTCTTGCTTCTAAAATATTCACTGTGGAAAAAATAATTTAATTATCCGCTGACCACCACTCTGGGTGACCGCTTTGCAAGTTGTGAGAACATCGTTTCTCGGTCCCAGACCTCGTCTCTTCCCCCCCCCCTGACTTACAGTGCTCTTAGTTTCCAGCGAATAAACTTTGAAGTATGTATGTAAACCCTCAGGACTGGGATTTTGACTTTGCCTTTCCAAATTTTAACCTAGCTTTGTTTTAATGAGAACGAAGCTGTTGTAGAAACTGAATCGTAACCTTACCGAGGAAGAGAATTCTAGTCAGTGTTTGAAAATTTGAACGCAGATCACAATTAAAGACGAGAATGATCTGGCAGAAAGAGAGGTTTTCCCAAAAACAATTAACGAGCGAATCCTTCGACAATGACAACAAACTTACCTTGAAAAGCTTCTTTGCCTTTGGCAGTGTTTTTTCACAAGGACAAACGGTGGAAAGATGGAAACGACTTCTAGACAGAGACAGTGTCCGGTTTCCAAAATACTCCAGCGTTACATTAAAGAGCTAAAACTTACAGTACTCTTAGTTTTGACCGAATAAACCTTTTTTAACATGGCGAATTTGTTTTTACTTTCTCGGAAAGCCTTTGTTATGTGCTATTGTTTTCGTGCGCCAATAAAAACTTTCTTTTTTGACACCTGTCAAATGATTGTCAAATCGTGCGTCCTGCACTTGTTTCCGGTCCCCCAAACAGGAGGAAGCCATATAATAAACATCTTATTAGCCTCGTTTTGTCGGTCCGTACTGTAAAATACGGATCCTCATTTTTTTTCCATCGATTTATGGCCCAAGCGCGCTTGGGCCATAAATCGATGGAAAAAAACTCGGTCCGTAATTTACTTAGCCTGCGTAGCTGGCGGTATTGTCTAGTAGTCAAGTGAGATTTGGCCGCGGAGCCGTTATAATATAGTCGAGTGAGATTTGACGGCGGAGCCGTCATGAGCGGCGAAGCCGCGAGAAATATATATACCGCCTGCCAGAGAACCATGATTTTTCGAATGCCGCCCACTTTTGTCACCTTTCATAGCTGATCCTAATTAAATCAGCCAATCAAAGAGAAACCTACAATTTGAAACTTCCGATTATTTTCGCGCGAGACAGTTTAGAAATAAGCGTTGACAGGATAAACACGACTCCTAAGCTCGTGATAATGTGAAACGTGACCCTGTGAGTTTGCTTGAACAGAGGTTTTTTTTATTTTCTCGGCTCTTGCGCGAAGACCGCGAAGGTTACTAGCACTACACAGTGCATGTATCATTCTAAGCTTTGACTGAGTAAATCTTTTTTTGTCACACTAGACTTAACATTAAAAGGTCATGAAGCTTGTTTGTTACATGCATACCGAGTAACCATTTCCTGTGGTTTATTCTTCTGTAGGTGTTCCTGATAGGATTTGATCTCAGATGCAGTTGTAAAGTGTTTTAATTTTCTTTGACCTTTGTTTCTTACTGCTAAATAAAGACAATTCCAGCGCTGTAAAGCCATTTCGGCAATTTGATCATCAATTATGCTCTTTTTAAAGGAGAAACTACAATCACTTACGTCTTTTCCAGTTTGCCATCTGCTCCCTTAACTGGGAAATATATGCGAAGGATCATCTAACATGATTGACATATGTATGGCCCTCGACCAATCCGTTTCTCCGCACACTGGTGTGCGGACTATTCAAAATATCGGGGTTTTCTGGCAGGCGGTATTTCAACCGCCTCGTTCCTACTCCCTTTTTTGGAACACGGCTCCGCCGCCAAAACTTTAATCTCGCACCCACACAATACCGCCAGCTATGCAGGCTACCGAAAACTCGGCTAATAAGAGGTATTTATTATATGGCAAAGCCAGTCTTAGGCAAATCCGTACGCTCTGATTGGTTCTTGCTCGGTCGGGATTTTGCAGTACAGACCGTGTCCATGGAAACGGTCCAAGACGTGTATTTTTGTTTTGCAGTAAAGCCGGCAACTTCAAAATTTGCAATCACAACAGCGAAAAAAAAAATGTGGACATTGTCATTCTTCATCGCGAAACTACCAGGAAAAGCTAAAAAGATTGAAATTTTACTGAGATTTCAAAGATGGATGAAGAAGACGAACATTCTCCGAGCGAATCTAGTATTATCGTGAACATCTGGAAACTTTTTATTCAGAAACTGAAACGGGCATTACCGAAAGTCAGGAGGCCATAGACGATTTTATCAACCAACAGAAAAGTGCAAACACAGACAAGAAAAAGGCTACTGATATGACAAAAAAACCTTTGTGGAATTTTAGAATCAACAATTGCTTTTGTCAGATTCCGTTAAAAAGCTTCTTTGAAGTTTTGTGTAAGCTAATGTAAGGCGATTTCACATCAATGAATTGTTTTCGAACAAGTGGTAGCTTGCTTTTGTCTGAGTTCCTCGCGTCATCAAGAATACGTCACGGCGGAAGCCCTTTAGGTGCAAGCCACAAGCCACCGGAAGTGCTTTTTACTATCAAAGCCGAGTGCCATATAAACAACTTACTAACCGAGCTTGCTCGTGCCGTACTAGGGAATAATGGTCGTACTGCCACGACCTCGGGCCAATATTCCCAGTACGGCGCTCGCACTCGGTTAGTAAGCGGTTAATCTTGTGGCTAAAATCATGCAAAGTGCTTATTTATGTGTTATTTTTCATGTCAAGCACCAAAAAAAATCCCCATTTCTCGCGGTTTCAACCTGACTTCTAATTCCTGGTAAAATCCAAGATCGCCGCCAAGATGGCGACCTTTGCTGGTGACGTCACAGACCTCCAGCAGCGCCACCATGCATAAAATATACCTTCTCTTGTTAAGAAGATCAGAGGATTCCCCCCTTGCACCACGGTGGGGTTTGAATTCGCGTGTACGTCCGAGGGTTAAACTCAGATTATTGATTTCAATGGTCAACTAAGGTGTCAATGTTATTGGTCGTCTTTCAGTTAAGCCGTGATGTTATTGGCCATGAAGACTCTAATTGACGTGATACGACTACCTTTGACTCTGAAGATAACTACCCCACGGGTTGTCGAAACGAACGTGATCGACAAACTGTCAACAACAATATTCAGGCACTGGCCAGGATAATCATTCTCCTCCTACTTATGAAATGACTCCTGAGTTTTTAAACCGCTTACAGTTTAAGCAAAGTTGAGTGATTAATTTTTATGAAGATAGGATATCACTTACACCAAAGGTCTTCAGTAATCTGAAGCGGATTCATCGATTCAGCGGTTGAAAAGGGTTGGCAGGCTAAGAAATTCACTTCGTCTTGCATGCTTTATTGAATTTTGCGGACGACAATTTATGACTGTAATAAAGCTTTGAACGCTATACGCCTGCCACTTTGAACGTGTAGATTTTTTAAAGTCATGGGGACAATGTATTCAATGTATTGAATTCAGGGAAATTATACAAAGTACAGAGTGGAAACAATTTCCGTAGTAACTTCCTAGTCTGCCGGAAAAGGAAATATCTTGCTTCTGAAACGAGCCTACGTTCTGGAGAAGAACGAAATGAAAGTCCATCTGGTGTTCGTGGTTCTTTTCATCGTCCAGTCGTCAGGTAAGCCTATAAACGAAGTTACGAGCGCGAAATACTATCTAGTATAGCCTACCTACTGCCTTGTAACTAAAAACTAATTAAGTAAATATATGGTCATCAGATCCACAGCTCTAGCCTTGCGCATTGCATTTTACTGTTCTTGGTAGCTTGTCGTATTGTAAATAGATTTTCCTAAAACAACAACAACAACAACAACAACAAGTTTATTTCAAACTAAATATAGCTTACAAAGCTTGTGCCGGCAATTAGCGAAGGCTATTCGAGGCTGGTACAAGAGAAAAAAGAAAATTGTATAAATATATATGTATGTTAAACGAACAATCCTAGAAGCAATCTAGTTTGTCGTAAGACTTTATTTCGGTCATGATACTCGTTGTCAAAACCGAGCTAGAAGCACATTACACTCGCAGAAAACACAATCGGAAACAGTGTGGTTATATTTAAATGACTCTCGGTATCTATAATCGCCTGATGTCGTCTCCAACCAATGAAACATTTTAATAGTAAACTCTATTCGTTGCACGCCAGTGATTTACATGCGCGGAGCACAATACCAAGCTGCACCGAAGCGTAAATATTATAAGTTAACCTTGTTGGAGGATTGTCGTATATAATCGTCAGTTTCGTTGTTTAACGTTTTACAAACAATAATCGTATCCGAAGGTTCGATTCATTCATTATCTGGCTGACTCACTCTCCGATGATACATGCAAGGCTTCAACATTAGCTTATCTGTATTCACTGCTTCCACGCTGATGCCACAAAATTTCGCTTTGCTGCTGCCTGTATTGCGGGTATAAAAGTTGTTAAAATACCGGTCTAAATTAATCAGGGTTTGTGACCAATTTAGTTGCATCTGCAACTTTCTATCAAAACATAAGTTAAAGTATACATGTCAACAAGAGTGACTAGAAGGTCACATGCCTAAAAATAAGCCAAAAAATTAAACTGCATGGTTCTTGAGGGCTTTTGCATTAACGTTACACCAACTGAGCGTAACATGAGAACACTACCTAGCAGGTAAAGACAGTGTCACGGAAGGCAAAATTTAAAATTCAAAAATATACTACAACTTTACATTCCTTTGTAATTACAAGTAACTAAATACTTGGAGCCCTACCTTTACGTCAGAAGATGAGGTAAGCAAAGGCAATCTAATGAAATTGAAAACGAGAAAGGTCAATCCTTGTTTTTTTTTTTAGCTCTTAATCGAGGCTTATTTGTGCCCCTTTTCTCCGGAGAAGTTTGTACTCTATTTTGTCAGGAGAGGGGATACCTAGTACGTGAACAGTGCCTGGGCCCCTGAATTCCTTGACAACACTTTAATATCTCTCTGTCAAGCTGGGAGTCTGCACTTGCTGCCGTCCGATAGTTAACGCATGGTAGAGCATCCAGACGCTAATGCTGGTAACAGCGCGCTATACGAGGTCAAGGAAGCTATAACACGATGATCTGCATTGCGGGTGGTTTGTGTGCATTTTGTAGAGGACTTTGGCTGCTGCAGTCTGTCGCCTTTGGAGTAAGCTGTTGTAATATCTAAACGCAGGATTTGGGATCATTTCTTTAGGTCTTGTTATTGATGTCATCGACAAGGCAAGACAAGATCTGTTGGAGAACCTGTAAACCACACCATAGTGACTTCTTGACTGTATAATTTGATCCAAAATGAGTAAATAATTAAATAAGAAAGAATAACTCATTTCTACAAAGAAAAACTTCACCTTGTGTATTACGAACCCTATAATCCTAGATCAAAGTAATTTTGAAAAGGTAAAATGGCTTCATTCAAGACAATGTTGAAACTTAAATTTTTTTTTAACTTTGTGTTTGAGATGTGGCCCTCTCATAATTTAGAATTAAATGCTCGTCAAAGACCTCAAGCATTAGAGCATTCAACTTTGAATTGTTTTTAAGAACATCTATAAATTAGTATAACTTAGCTTGTCAGTTATCTTGTATATTTATTTTTATTTAAGGTCAGATAAAATTCGTTCAAAAATATGATGGCAGAGACGTGTTCGGGATAGTTGGTTCATCCATTAACTTTACTTGGAACTTTTCAAATGGTGTGGAAACCGTAACTTGGGGACTGAAGGATTCTGTTAGTGCCACAGTTGATGTGAATAAGAAATTCATATCTATTGGGCTTCAAGGACAATTACCTTTGACACCCCCTCAAGCATATGTTGGACGAGTAAGTGGTAGTGGTAGTGCCTCCTCTGGCTCTGTCATTTTTATCCTTACCAAAATCAAGAAAAGCGATGAGGCATTTTATGGTTGCGAGTTATTTCCTGTGGGTCCATATTCTACAGCCTTTGATTATGTACATTTAGTCGTTCAAGGTGGGTACTAAGAAAAATGATATTTTCTCATGGTAGCTAAAAGTGCTATATTTTTTTTGCACCTTCAGTAATTTTATTTCCAAAGACATGTTACGTTGATCAAATATAACCGAGACCCTGCTGATTGTACGTTTAGAAGGCAGTAATAGGTTTGGCAAACATCTATTTGTTTGTGTGAGTTTTTTTTTTCTTAACAAAAACAAAAACAAAACAAAAAAAATTGGCTGGGCCGACCTTAATAAGTGTCTGTTACGTGAGATAAAAGTTTTTAAATGTCCGAATATTCCGAATATTGTACCCCCCCCCCCCCCCC